ACTACTACGACGACGACTGCTACTGCCACTGCCACAACTACCATGACTACTGCCACGGCCACTACCACTACCACTAATAACTACAGCGACGACGACCGCTTACGACGATGACAGTCCGCACTGCCGCTACAACATCACTGCAGCTGCGAGACGCCTGCTACACTGACTACACTTTAGGGTTTCGACTTACACACTCGCACACTTTAGGGTTTAGGGCTGCAAGACCCTGACCCTATCCCCCACGGCCTCAAACTCCCAGGAAGTGGACTCCGCCATTGGATTCGCCCTTTGACTCAAAAGATACCAGGTTACCAAAACCGGATTCGTCGACCGGTCTGAGCCGAAAGCTGCAAACGAGGATTTAGTTTTTGATGCGGCCTTACAAATCAGGGATGATATTTAGGGTTTAGGGCTTAGGGGTGTGATGTGGCATAGGGCTGTGTGCCGTCAGCTGGGACCACACTGAAGCCCCAAAGCCGTGCAGCCCATCCTCGAAAATTCAACAGCCAATGACGTAAAGTTTTGAGCCCGAGGGCTTGATCGGATCTCTGCATTTTGTTGTTTCACTGTTGTTTCCGGAACCTCGCGGAACAGAAGGAGCTTTGCAAATTCGGGCTTCGGACTCTAAACAAGGACCTGAAGACTGCCAACGACACGGTGCAAACGCAGCACCCGGCCACCTACCAAAGCTCCAAGGCGCACGTTGCGCTATCGCACCTAGGTTTAGGGTTCCTATATATAAACCCTAAACCCTAAACCAAAACCCTAAACCCTAAACGCTGGTGATGCAGTCCGAGCATCACCACCCCCGATCACCTCTCCCTTGGCATCGCGGAGCACTCCCGGATCGAATCTGCGCTTCCTGTCAGCAGGACTTTGCGGCCGACAGCATAGACTGGGAAGGGTTTAGGGTTTAGGGTTTAGGGTTTAGGGATCCTTCATGAAGGGGCCATAATACTATCCCTATAGTATCCCGACTGATAGCTTTGATCCCGAAGGTGTCTTTGGCGCAGGACTGACTGCGAAAGAGCCAACCTCGATCGCCCAAGCCGCAAGAACTTTTAGGGGAATAAAAAACCGAAACTTGTCCTATGCTGTGGATTTTGGATCATAAGCCCGGCATCGGGAGCACTTAGAGCACCCAAAAAACCCACGGAAGCCGCAAAGACTGACACCTTATGCAAAACAAGTTGCTGTAAACCTTGGTGGCCTATGGTTGGGCAGTATGAGCCGGGACCCTCACGAGGAAATCATTACCCATTGACGCCTCCCATCCGAGAGCTTCATTGCCGAAGATGAGCTGCCTTGGTTCGGGCGTTTACGAGTTGTGTCAGCGAGGCTTTGTGTGCAGTCTAGGCTTTTGTTCGACTTGCACCAGGTACCGTTGGGGTCGGTTTGGATGTTTTTGGCACTCGTTCTCGACGAGTTCAGGCGAGGATCCCAGGAGACAACGTGATTCATGGCTGAGTTCTTTGCACTCAGCCAAACTGCAGCTACAACTCCAGTGGCTCTTGACGAACATGCTTTTGTTGAGCAGGGGCTGCAGCGCACATTGCCCTGATACTTCAGCTTGTCGAACATGCTAACTCCAGTATCTGTTTGACAACCTCATTTCGAAGGGCTTAGGATTCAGGATTGTGGTTCTGAATTTAATAAAGTCTTCCAAGTCTGAGACTCTGAGAAGCTGGTTGGGGGCTTGGGCAGAGCAGCTTCGGATCTAGGCTTGAAAGCTTGCAGGACAGCTTGGATAGGCCTGAATAAGGGTTGTTCGCTGTACACGGCGAGGGCCAATTCCAAATAGTCCAACTACATCTACAACTACAACTGCCGCGACCGCTCCTGCTACTGCTGCTGTAGGGGCCAGAATAATTAGACTGGGATATCCTTTATCGTGGAATTCTAGTAAGGAGCCCTAAAAGCAATATTGGTAACTGTGTAGGCTTCCAAATTAGTGCTACTGCTACTGCTACCACCACCACCACTACCACTACCACGAATGCTGCTACCCGTGCTACTCGTCTTTCTGCTGCTGCTGCTGCTGCTGCTACTACCACCACCACCGCCGAAATCCTTCCCACTCTCTGCCTGCCACTAGCATGACGACGACTTCTGCCCTTTACAACTACCCTAAACCATAAACCTAAACCCTGAAACCCTAAACCCTGAACCCTAAACGCCGAATCCTCAACCCTTTTACACAGGCTTGATTGGAGCTCGCCCTAAACCCTAAACCCTGAACCCCTTAAGCTTCGGGCTCTTTGACACGATTCCTTGCGTGGAGCCGGTGGAGGGCGTAGATGCCGCTCCTTGCAGGTCCTCTTCTGCCTGTACAGGCTTGAAGCTTTAGGGTTCAGGGTTCAGGGCTTGGGGTTCAGGGTTTCAGTGTTTGGGGTTCAGGGGTTTAGG